TACTTGTGTGTAAAACACACATACTAAATACATAAATGTTTACAAAAAAGCTTTAGGCTCGGAGAAAAAGTGGGGACACACACTGATAAAGAGCCTATATTCAGTCCGTGAGGTGAGAGTTGATGGTATAGCTCAGCCTAACACATTCCAGGCAGTGGGTTCAATCCTTGAGAAAAGAAGAATGATAGACAGGCAGGTTGCAAGTTGCCCTCTGACCTTCTCACATTCACTGCAGCATGTGTGAGTGGGCACACACAGACACAAATAAATATAACAGAAAACAACAGAAAAGAAGTCAAGAAAGAGAATGGACAACCTCAAATCTGATCAACATAAAGCTTGCTGTAAAAGTGGGCAAGAAGCTCAGACAGACGTGCCACAAAAGATGTTCTAACAGTAAATAAACTTGGGAACGAGTAAGCTCAGATCTGCCTTCCCCGAACACAGTGCTTCTGCCAAAACCACCACCCATGACTTAGAGGATATCTCATCTACAGTGTCACTTCATAGCAAGCAAAGCATGGCACTGGATCGATGCTTATGATATTAACTCCCTTACAATGTTCCTTAATGATCTGAAGTTGCTGGCTGGATAAAAACCTTTCTGGTCTTTTGAAGACACCATTACAATACCAGGGAAGTGGTGATACCTTGCAGAGCTGAGGCAACATTCCCCAGCAGGCTGAATATGCTGGGTATCAATTGCCAATGTACATGCTGATTCTCCGAGAGCCAGGATTGATGGATCAAGAAATTAAGAGCTAGAAATAGGTTAGCATTTGGGAGGTGAGGCAGAAAGATCAGGAGTTTGGGGATATCCTTGATTACATAGTGAAGTCAGCCTGGGTTACAAGAGAGCCCCATCTCAAGGAAAAAAAAAACATATATGAGGCTGGGGAAGGAAGGGAAAGGAAAGAAGGGAGGAAAGAGAAGAGAAGAATGAAGGATCTGGGATTGGGAGGGGAGCCACTAAGCACTGTCACCCCTGATTCCCTAACAAACATTTTTCTGTCCTCCTGCTCTACTGGCCTAGCTCTCTCAAGAGAGGCATGCTCCCACTGGGAGATACTCAATGACTTATGGAACTGGAAGTTGAAACTAAACCTTGGCCACTTTGGGCTCTTCATGACTTTGAATCAACAGACCAAGAATGGAGTTATGGTATTGTTGGAAACAATTCATCTTCACTAGCAAGGAGAAATTGATATACTACTCCATGGTGGAGATAAGTAAGAATATGTCTGAAATGCAGGACGTCTCTAGGGCCTTTCCTAGTCTTTCTGTGTCTGTGACTAAGGTAAGTGAGAAAATAAGAACAATACAGACAGGACAATTAATAGCCCAGATCCTTCAGAAATCCCACCAGATAACTGTGCTTATTATAGAGAAAGGCAAAGCAGAATGGGCAGGAGGTAGTTATACTAAACAGGGACATAAGACCAGGGAGAGAGCAGAGGATTGAAAGTATTGCTGTTATGTTTGGCTACGAATGTTTGTATGTAAAAGTAGTCAGCATGATGGTGCACACCTTTAATCCCAGCACTTGGGAGGCAGAGGCAGGCAGATCTCTGTGAGCTCAAGGCTAGTCTTGTTTATATAGCAAGCTCCAGGCCAGCTAAGGCTACATAGGAACCCTTCAAATAAACCAACAAAATAATTATGGTTATAATAATACCATTATATAATTATAATTGTTAAATAATAGTTTTAGATGTATGACTGTTTGTTTGGCCTACATGCGTGTATGTATACTACATGAATACATTGCTAGAAGGGGCCAAAGGGGGCATCAGATTCCCTGGAACTGGATTTACTGTCATGTGGTAGACAGGAACCCAACCAGAGTCCTCTGCAAGAGTAACAAATGATCATTAGCCACTGTTCCAGCTCCTCAATGACTTTTTGTTGTTTGTTTGTTTGTTTAGACCACGTCTCTCTATACAGCCCTAGCTGTCCTGGAACTTCCTATTAGACCAGTCTGGACTGGAACTCACAGAAATCCACCTGCCTCTGCCTCTTGAGTGCTGAGATTAAAGGCATGCACCACCATACCCAACTCCAATGACTTTTAAAACACAATTTATCAGGATGGAGAGATGGCTCAGAGGTCGAGAAACCTTGCTGCTCTTCCAGAGGACCAGTTCAGTCCTCAACATTCATAGGTGGCTCATAACTGCTGCTATTTCCAGCTACAAAGGATTCAATGCCCTCTTCTGTCCTCTGCAGATACCTATACCTACTACTACTGCGCACGCGCGCGCGCGCGCGCGCGCGCACACACACACACACACACACACACACACACACACACAGAAAGCCTTATTTTAAAACCTACTAAATATATCAAGCTGTGCAACATGACTCCAGTTTTAGACCATTTTCACCAATCCACATGATCCTTCATGTACATAGACTATTAATCTCCCCTCCCCGGCAAAGGGCAGCTATCTTAGTTCACACTGCTAGGACAGAATACAATACACAGTGTGGCTTCAACAGCTAGTACTGCTTCTCTTAGTCTAGAGAACCAGAAGTCTATGAATATGGTGCTGACAGATTTGGAGTCATGGTCTTGGAAGGCTGTCTTCTTGTATATTCAAAGGCCTACTTGTCACTTTCTTGTCTTGAATATATTTAGTTTTGTTTTTAAGTGTGTAAGTGTTTTGCTTACAGTCACAAATATGCCTGGTGCCTGAGGAGGCCTGAAGAAAGTCTTCGATGGTTGTGAGCCACCATGTAGGCATGGGGAATTGAACCCAGGTCTTCTGGAAGATCAGCCAGTGCTCTTAAGCACTGAGCCATCTCCCAGTCTAGTCTCTTTGTCTGCTAAGGACACTAATCCAATTAAGAGAGCTCACCTTCCTGAGAGTATAAACAGCATTGCTTCCCCAGGCCTCCACCTCCTACTCTAGTTAGTAGCGGTTAGGGTTACAATCATTATCTACTTTCTGTCTTTATGGCTTTGTTTTTCTGAGTATCTCATGTAATTTTCAGAATAACATTGTCACTGCCAGCAAGAAATATGTCTCAATGATGTGGGCAGCAAAGTCTGAGGGATCTCCAGGGAAGAATCCCAGGCTGAGTCAGAATAAAGCAAAGTTACTGTACTGATTAAATGGAAAAACAAGCCAGCTTGGAAGACTGAGGTGCAGACGTGGAGAGAACAACACACCTGGCTGCCTGAGCCATGCTGGTGTGTGACTGGAGAGTTATGATGCTCCTTCAGCTTCCAGTATTCACTTAAAGGAAAGCACACACTGCTTTTTTGTTTTCATTACCCACAGAGTTTTGTCCTTGAAAAGTAGGCTTTTAAACATTTTTTAAGCTAGAAGAGGCAATTCATACCTTTGATCCCAGCACTGGGGAGGCAGAGGCAGATGGGTTTTTATGAGTTTGAGGTCATCCTGGCCTATATAGTGAGTTTCTGGCAATCCAGGGCTATACAATGAGATGCTGTCTCAAAATATTTTTTTAGATTTACTTGTTTTATTGCATCTGTTTTGCCTGTGTGTATGTATGTGTACCTGGTTCCCACAGAGATCAAAAGTGGGAGTCAGATCTCCTGAAACTTATGGACAGTTGTGAACTGCCACGTGGGTAGTGGGAGAGAATCCAGATCTTCTACAAGAGCAGCCAGTGCTCTTATCCTCTGAGCCATCTCTCCATCTCCAAGGAAACCACTTTAAAAGATTTAAAAACTCTTTTGTATATATCTGTGTTCATGCACAAGTGCAGTGTCCACTGGAGCTAGAAAGAGGGATTTTGATCTTAGAGTTATTGGTGGTTGTGATCCCAGGTCATCAGGGTTGGCAGCAACTCCCTTACACACTGAGCCTTCTTACAAGCCCACCTGTTGTGGAATTTTTTGTTTTGTTTTGTTTTTCCAGGCAGGGTTTCTCTGTATTGTTTTGGAACTCACTCTGTAGACCAGGCTGTCCTCGAACTCACAGAGATATACCTGCTTCTGCCTCCTGACTGCTGGGATTAAAGATATGCGCCACCACTATAAATATTCTGTTTATACAACTATTACTTTAACTGTGTAAAGATGTTAATTTTGTTTATGCAACATTTGTTTAATTATGTAAATATGTGTTGCATCTGTTTCACCTCACTTGCGTAAGGCACCTGATTACTCTAATAAAGAGCTGAACGGCCAATAGCTGGGCAAGAGAAAGGCTAGGTGGGGCTGGTGGGCAGAAAGAATAAAAATGAGGTGAGATCTAGGCTCAGAAAGAACAAGAGGAGAAAAGAAGGAAGGAGAGGGAGATGCCTGAGGTCAGCCACCCACCCAGCCACGGTGTAAGAAGGAAAGGACTTATAGAATAAAGAAAGGTAAGAAGGCCCGAGGCAAAAGGTGAATAAATTTAAGTTAAAAGAACTAACCAAAAAAGAAGCCTAAATTAGGCCGAGCAATCATAACTAATAAGAAGCCTCTGTGTCTGCCGGGTGGTAGTGGTGCATGCCTTTAATCCCAGCACTCGGAGGCAGAGGCAGAAGGATCTCTGTGAGTTCGAGACCAGCCTGATCTATAAGAGCTAGTTCCAGGACAGCCTCCAAAGCCACAGAGAAACCCTGCCTCGAACTCCTCCCACTCAAAAAAGAAGCCTCTGTGTCATGCTTTGGGAGCTGGGTGGTGGCTCAAAAGAAAAAGCCTGGTACACTCACCCAAAAAAAAAAAAAAAAAAAAAAAAAAAAAAAAAAGATTATGTGATTATGTGTGTAAGTGGTCTTGACCTGTTTCACGGAATCCAACACCCTCTTCTTCTGGCCTCTGCAGGCACCAGGCATGCCTAGGTATGCAGACATACATTGCAGCAAAACATACCCAAAACAAAACAGTAAAATAGAAAAAATATTTGAAGGCAAGAGAGAGGCAAAGGCAGGTTATGATAAAAGGCTCTCTCTGCAAGAACTGACTGCGGTCCTCCAGCCTGCAGGCGGCGCTAAAAAATAGAGCTCGCCTCCCAATTTCTCACTCCGGCCGCGGTCTTAGCGAAGGTCCTTGTTGCTAGGAGACAATGTGCATCGTTCCGCTCTGGAGCCGGGTGTCGCTGATTGCCTGAGTTCTCTTGGCAGAGTACTGAGTTTTTTGCCTGGACTCGGTCCGCCGCCCAGCCATGCCTAAAAAAGGCAAAAAGGCCAAAATACCCTTATCGGATGAGGAGCAGCTGCTTCTATTTCAGCAGAGGTTGTTGGCAGAGGAGGAGGCTGCCAAGAAAAAAGAGAGGCTGCTCACCCAGTTCTTGAAGGTGATGCTTGTCTGCAGTGTGTCTTGCTCAAACCCACCGCTCATGCGCTAGCGCCGTCGCCTGGGTCTCGTCATTGTGCCCGGCTCATTTACATCTCGCCAGTGCCTCCTTGATCCCAAAATACATGAGTTTCAGACAACATTGTTTTCGGCCTAGGGAATTCTCTGTGAAGCGTGGACAGGGGGAATGGAAATCTGGAAGTATCAACTAAGCTCTGGAATTAGGACAGTAGATGATGTCAAGTGTCCAAATTCAGCTGTCTTGAAAATCCTAATGTTCTGGAGTAGGGTCATTATAAAGTCTTCTATTCTGACTTTTCATCCTGAAGGAAACTCTTCCAAAGAACAAACGGGAGCCCCTGGGTGTTGGTTGCCAAGAGCTTTGGTACTTGAGAATACACAAGGGCTGGTATTTTTCATGGTGGTATCCGTTATACCGTGGTAGAACTTTGGCCTTGGCTGAAACAGATGTGTTTATCCCTCACACAGGACAAGCTGGCCAAGGAAGAACACAACAGTGCTCTGAACCTTAATAAGATTAACACGCAGTGGAGGACGGTCCTAAGGGAGGTCAAGACTAGAGAGCTTCACAAGGACATCGAGATCCTCAGCCAAACGTTTGAGCGAGTGGTGGACTGCAAGGACAGTGTCATCAAGGTACCCCTCTACCCTAAGAATTCACGAGTAGAATGGGCCTTGTGAATTCATATTGTTTTGAAACAAGGTCATGTATCCCTGTACTGGTCTCAGACTCATGATGTAACTGGTGATGACCTTGAACTCCTCACCCTCCTGTTTTCACTTCTCAACTGCTGGTATTGCAGGTGTGGGCTACACAGCCAGATCTACCTAACTGGCCTTCAAACCTTCATGAGACAAGGCTCTGACAAGCTATCTGGCTAGGTGGATGGAATGATGGCATTTCCTTCTTATTTCCTAATGATTTTAGGAATGCCGGCTCTCCCATTCAGTCTTCAGAATTTAAGATTTATTTATTATTTGTGTGTATGTATGCATGTCTTTCTAAGTTTATGTTATGTGTACTGCAGGCACTCCAAGAGGCCAAAGGAGGCCAGAGGCCCTCAGATTTCCTGGAATGAGAGCTACAAGCAGTTGTGAGTTGCCTAATGTAGGCACTGGAATTCAAACCCAGGTCCTCTGAAAGAACTGTAAGAGCCATCTCTCCAGCCCTTCCCATTCAGTCTTGATGCAAACCAAGAATGACATCTAGTAAATATAGGGACCAGTCCCGGTGATACATGCCTTTATTCCTACTACTCAGGAGGCAAAGACAGGTAGATATCTTGGTCTATACTAAGAGATCCAGGACAGCCAGGGCTCTACTGGCTCAAAACACAAAAACAAACAAACAAAAAACAAAACAAAAGAGAAAAAAATTCACAAGGCCCCTCCCCGAGGTTATACAAGCAGAAACAACGCCTGGGGAGAAGGGACCCTCAGACCAGCTAAGCTGTGGAGCTCAGTGATGCAGCTTCTGTTAGCCATCACCCAGCTCCTCTAAGGAACCCAATAAACTAACTGGTTTACCAAAGTGGACGCTGGCAAAATCGTTAGTCTGGCTCTCTCTCTTCTGGGGACAGTGGATAATTGTTCCTGTTTCTGTAGGAAAACAACACAACACATCCTTAGCCCCCAGGCGATTGTCCCTCCTAAGCAAGAACAGTGTGTCAGTCTGTCAGTTGCCACTAGAGTCACCTGGGCCCGACTGGATTATCGTCACTTCAGCTGGCAGCCAGGAGCCCAGCTGAGCTGTTGACTACAAGTCACATGACCTCTCCATGTGCTTTGGGTTTCTCACAACTGGCTTGGTTTCTGGAGGAAGCATTCCCAGGAACAGGCATTCCAAGAGGCAGGAAATGGAAGCTGCCAGGCCAGAGAAAGGGCTGAGTTGGAACTGCCACAGTTCCAAGTGCCATTCTCACCTCTTCTATTGATTCCATTAATCATAAGGTTACTCAAATTCTCGAAAGTGGAAAAGAGAACTTTTTGCTCCTGCCCTCCCTCCTTCCCACTCTCCCATCTTCCTTTTTCTTTCTGGCCTTTCTCTAGAGATGAGTTTTTCTGGCTTCAAACTCATGATCTTCAAAAGATGTTATTTTTAAATTATGTGTATGTGTCTTGTGTGTGGGGATGTACATGTGAGTGCAGGGAGGCCAGAAGGGGGCATCATATCCCTTGGAGTTAGAGTTGCAGCAGTTGTGAGGCACCTGACTTCAATGCTGGAAACTGAACTCATGAAAAGGAGCAAGTGCTCTTGACCTCTAAGCCGTCTCTCTAACTTCTAAACTCCCAATCATCTTCCTTCCCAAATGCTGGGATTGCAAGCATGTGTCACTAGCCAAACCAGACTCTATCTTTGGTGGAGGAATGACAAAGTCCCATTGCAGAGAATTGTAGGATGGGAGTGTACTCATCTTTGCAATATAGTCTGTCACAAGAAGCCACTTCCTGCTGGCCCCTGAATCACTCTGGCATGGCTTGATTGGTTTTTGATAGCATTTTTGCTTTTTGTTTTGTGCTTGTAGTTAGTACTGGGGATCAAACTCTAGACCTCACCTATGCCAGGTAAACATTCTACCACTGAGACACATTCCTAACTTATAAAATAATTTTGCTGTGTATTGTGGTGCACACCTTTAATCCTAGCATTAGAGAGGCAGAGGCAGGCAGTTCCCTGTGAGTTGGAGGTCAGCTTGGTTTACATAGTTAGTTCTAGACCAACTAAAGCTGCATAGTGAGATACTGTCTCAGTACACACACACACACACACACACACACACACACATTTATTATACATATCACACACACATACACACGTCTTGTTAAGTACCCAGGCTGCAAACTCATTACATAACCCAGAAACTTTGCAATGCTCTTGCATCAGTGCCCTGGTATTATGGGCGTGCATCACCATGGCTACTTTGCTAATTTGTATAAGAAGATAAACTAGGTTCAAGTTATTTTCTGCCCTCAAACATCCAGTTCCCCAAGGATACCTGGCTTTTTTTAATGGTGGGTGGCTCCACCAGTGTAAATGTTTGTGATCCACAAGACATTGGCCCACTTCACACTTACTTAGAAAAAAATATTTTCATTTTATATCTGAGTGTCTGCATATATGTTAAGTACACCATATACATGCAATGCCCACGTAAAGGGCATTGTATCCCCTGGAACTGGAGTTACAGATGGTGGTGAGCCAAGACTCTATGTGGGTGTTGGGAATCAAACCCTAGTCCTCTGGAAGGGCAGCTGGTGCTCCTAATTGTTGAGCCATCTCTCCAGCCCTCTCTGATGCTATTCTTTTTAAACAAGGTTTTACTATGTAGCCCTGGCTGTCCTGGAACTCTTAGTGTAGACCAAGCTAGTCTTGAATTCACAAATACCTACCTGTCGCTGCCTCCTGAGTAGTAGGAATAAAGGCATGTATCACCGGGACTGGTCCCTATATTTTCTAGATGTCATTCTTGGTTTGCATCAAGACTGAATGGGAAGGGCTGGAGAGATGGCTCTTACAGTTCTTTCAGAGGACCTGGGTTTGAGTTCCAGTGCCTACATTAGGCAACTCACAACTGCTTGTAGCTCTCAGATTCCAGGAAATCTGAGGGCCTCTGGCCTCCTTTGGCCTCTTGGAGCGCCTGCAGTACACATAACATAAACTTAGAAAGACATGCATACATACACACAAATAATAAATAAATCGTAAATTCTGAAGACTGAATGGGAGAGCCAGCATTCCTAAAATCACTAGGAAATAAGAGGGTAATGCCATCATTCCATCATTTCATCTACCTAGCTAAACGTGTGTGTGTGTGTGTGTGTGTGTGTGTGTGTGTGTGTGTGTGTGTGTGTTTGTGTGTGTGTGTGTGTAGGCTAGAGGTTGTCATCAAGCATCTTCCTCGCTTGCTTTTCACCTTATATTTTGAGATTGGAGCTCACTCACCAAATTGGGTAGGCTGGCTGGTCAGTGAGACCTAGGACCCTCCTATGTCTACTCCCCCAATCCCAGGATTACAGGGGTGTCACCACACCAGACTTTTGTTTGTTTGTTTTGTTTTGTTTTTTTGAGACATGGTTTCTCTGTATTGTTTTGGAGCCTGTCCTGGAACTCACTTTGTAGACCAGGCTGGCCTGGAACTCATAGAGATCCACCTGCCTCTGCCTCCCAAGTGCTGGGATTAAAGGTATGAGCCACCAATGCTCAGCTCACACCAGACTTCTGTGGGTGCTGAGGACCCAAGTGATCCCTCTCCCCAGCCACTTGAACCCACTTTTATCTTCTCACGGATGCCACTTGGCCAGAACAGTAATTCTCTCCCCCCTGCCTAGTCTCTGGCTAAGGACTTGACGGAAGCCGAGGAGCAGTATGCCCATGCTCTGCGTAGCCACTTGCACAATGTTGACCAGCTCTTGGCTCTGCAGCGACGACGTCTCAGCCTCCTGGAGGAAAATTACAACATGGAGCTAGAGGTCCTAACGAAAGAGTTTGAGACAGAAAGGTATGGGACCAGAGAGTCAAGAGACTGGCTCCAGGGGAGTTTCCAGAGCCTATCCCCAGTACCCAGGAGCCTCCTTCCTAATCGTAATCCCAGGCAGAGAGGGTCCAAAGTTCCTTGTAAATGAATTCTGTTTAATCTTACAGCCGCAGCTACCTGGACCCCTGCCATGTTCCTGTCTGTACCTCTAATCCCAACTATCAAAGTTCTATCCATCCAGCAGTAGACAGGAATGGGAGAGAGGTTTCACTGTAAACTTACTTTTGGTTTTGTATCATATGAAGGTATTACCTACTCAAAAATCAAAATATTCTTATTCATTCTTTCTGGAAAAACAAAACAAAACTTTCCCTCCCTCCCTGCCAGTCCTTAAAAGTTTGTACCATCCATAGTTTTGTTTTCATTTTTTAAGACAGAGCCTCACTGTGTATCATTGGCTGCTTGGAACATATTATATAGACCAGGCTGCCCTCTAGCTCACAGATACGTGCCTACCTCTGCCTCCCAAGGGCTAAGACTAAAGGAGTGTGCTGCCACACCCGCCCATTCATAGTTATATTACATATTTTTTGTTATTTTTGGTCCACATGCTATATCTATCATGTCTCCTATAGGAAGACAATCATTGACCAGCATGAGAAAGAAATTCACTACCTACAGGATGTCTTCATGGCCATGGAGCAAAACTATTTAGATTCTGAGTATGAAAGCAAGCTGGAGTTCCAGAGCATGTGGGATGATCTGAAAAACAAGGTACAGGAGGAGAATGGTGGACAGGATCTGGATAAACATGTTGAGACCATTTAGGGCAGTCAGAGCTAGGTGAGAGCCCCAGAGCCAACAGTCAATAAAAGTCTGTTGCCACTGAGGTGTCCATGTGCTTCTTTGTGATCTTGTGAAAACTGCTCAGAAGGCAGGACTGTTCTAAAATGTTATGAGAATACATTTTAAGGGAAAAAACAAAACCAAACAAACAAAAAGCTACCCCCATGGCCAACAACAAAAAAACCCAGAGATCATCCTGGCTTCACCCTTTTGTAATGTAGATTAAGAAACAAATCTAAGTCGGTAGACTCTTAATTCTTTCCATTGTAGAGTTTACAAATCTAGTCGACATGCTGAAGTTTGGGCATAGAGTTCTTGGTTTAACTTTAAGTAATCCATTAATTTACTTATTTTTGAGACAGCATCTTGCCGGGCGGTGGTGACACATGTCTTCAATCCCAGCACTCGGGAAGCAGAGGCAGGCAGATCTCTGTGAGTTTGAGACCAGCCTGGTCTACAAGAGCTAGTTCCAGGACAGACTCCAAACCTACAGAGAAATGCTGTCTCAAAAAATCAAAAACAAACAAACAAACAAAAACAAAAAAACAGCATTCTTTCTTTGCCCAGGCTTACCTTGAACTCACTCTCTATGTGGTGGAGATGACCTGAACTACTTTTTTGTTTTTACCTTAAACTTCTGATCCTCCTGCCTCCACCCAAGTGGGGTAGCAGACAGGCACTATCACATGCAACCTGCTTCAACACTAGGGAAGCCCTCTACTGTAAGCTCCACCCCAGCCCGCGCTTCTAATTCAGCCAGTGTTTTACTTTACAGTTTGAATAATTTCCTACATGTAAAAACTGAAAAGATCTCAAATGGAAATCCAAACTATCAGTTTCCCTTTAAAAAGCTAAGAGATCTGCACCAGGCAGTAGTGACACACGCCTTTAATCCCAGCACTCGGGAGGCAGAGGCAGGCGGATCTCTTGAGTTCAAGGCCAGCCTGGTCTCCAGAGTGAGTTTTAAGACAGCTAGAGCTACACAGAGAAACTCCGTCTGGGAAAACAAAAGACAAAAAACAAAACAAACAAAAAAGTTAAGAGATTTGCAACACTAGGCCTTATTCTATTTGTTTGGTTTGGTTTGGTATGGTTTTGGTTTTTCAAGACAGGGTTTCTCTGTAGTTTTGGGAGCCTGTCCTAGAACTCAATCTGTAGACCGGGCTGGCCTTGAACTCACAGAGATGTGCCACCACCGCCCGGCTCCTCATTCAGTTTCTAATTGGCATCATTCTCATGGAGCTGGGCCCACCCCCATGCCTTCCTGTCCAGATCACCAGGACTGCACTACGAATATAATTCACTAAACAACAATCCAAATGGTTCCTGAGGGGTAAGGTTGCCGGCAGGGGTGAACAGGCAGTATAGGGCAACTCCTACCATTTGGTGGTTGGGATATGTTTCCTAGACTTTAGAAGAGAAGCACTTTCTTCGCCTACAACTGGAGAACATAGTAGAGGACCTATGGAGAAGATTCCAGGATGCACTCAAGAACTACACTGATGCCACAGAGGACCGGAAGATTGCCTTTGAGACTCTGAGGATGAAGGATGAGAAAAGCTCCAAAGAGATCGAGATACAGATGAAAAAAATCCAGAAGCTGCAGGTCGGTGCTCAACTGGAGACACTTTTCAGTGTTCCATCTGTCCATTTCTCTCCCAGAGTCTTTTGGATCTTTCACTAGTTGGGTCAAGATGACAGACTCTGCACTTAGTCCCCAGTCTACCCTTTGACCCGTCTGCCTTTGTCAGCTGCCTCTACTGTCCCTCTAGGAGGCCATAAGTTCCCTGAAAGGGAAGATCGTATCCCACAGCCGTGAAAGTGAATGGCAGAACCACTGTGTCCGCAACGACAAGGAGCTGGTGCATATACAGCTCCGAAAGCTTAAGGCCCAAAGGACGCAGGTTCGGGGAGTGTCCCAGGAGAACTTAGTCAAACTCACCCTGGAAAGTAACACCACCCTCAAGGAACTGAAAAAGGTCGTGGAGAAGGTAAAAGGGAGAAGGCAATGGGGACAAAAACCAAGAAACCTGGCTGGAGGTGGAAGGGATTCAGGAGACTTGGGGTAGGGCTACCTCCTCCTTCCTCATTAAGTGGACATTTGTGTTAGCATTTTTTTTTTTTACTCCATTCCCCCCCCCCCAATGAATTGGGTTTTTCAGCTTCCAGAGCCCCCACTTTGCTTTGCCGAGGGTCTTTTCTCTGTGTCTGATGCATGGGCATGTGTTCCCTCACCCCCAATAAATGCCCTCCTCCAACTGCTAATCCTGTCTGAAGCACAGGCTGGCGCTTGAGATTTCTCCACTGCTACCTGCTGGGCTTCAGGTTTTTCCCACCTTTTAATTCTTTAACTGGCAAAGGAAATACAGTCAAGACCCCTAGACTGTATTATTTCCAAACTGAATCATTTTGGGGGCTTGTCTCTGGATTTCTTCTGAAGACAGTATCATTTTGGGACTTAATCTCTAGATTTCTTTTGAGAACTATACCAACTCATCAAGATGCTGTCAGCCATATGACAAGCTCCAAAGATATATGCTGTCATCAAATGGTTGTCTTATGCTCCAAGTCATTACCATTGGTTTTTATTGTGGACTCTTACATAGACCCTCCTCTGAGGCTGACCCCCAATGTTGACCTTTTGTAAGCTTGAAGCAGCTGAGAGCAATGTTTATCACCCCCAAACACCCTAAGAGCAGTTAGGGTGACCTCTGAGACAGGGGCTAAGGGATAATGAAAGTCCAGGAGTTGAACAGACTCCCCAGGAAGCAGACAGACAGAAAGGAGGAGGAGCCATGGCTAGGTAATAAAGGAGGTGAATTTTCAAGATGGCCACTTCTTCTTCAACTTCCTGACTAAAGGGAAAACGTTTATCTCCCACCAGCAGGCCCCCTGCTGATGGCTTGGGCTTAGGAAGTTCAAGGCCTGATCAGGACATGTCACACACAGTTGCAGACCAATCAGCCATCCTATGGGACTTCAAACTGACCAAGCCTAAAGTAGGGGAGGAAGACTCTTGAAAGCTTTACAATCCCCAGATCCCTAGGAGAGATAGAACTTTGCAGCTTCCCAGGCTCCCCCTGTGTGTGTCCACTGCTTGTGTGTTTCCTCCCCCCAGTAAACCCTTTTTTTAACTGGAGGAAAAAGAAAGGAAGGAAGGAGGGAGGGAGGGAAGGAGGGAAGGAAGGAAGGAAGGAAGGAAGGAAGGAAGGAAGGAAGGAAGGAAGAAGAAAGGAAGGGAAAAGAAGAGTAACAATGAGCTGTGTTTGTGGTAAGAATGCAAAAAGCTGGGATAGTGCTTCGCTTATGGCAGGTGCTGCATCAAATGGGCTTCTGGCTGACTGAGCTGCTCTCCTGGGCTCAAGCAGGGGAACTATCTTGTTTTCCCTAAAATGCCTCTTCACACTCCCAACAGGGTGAACAGATCCTTAAGCTTGCTGAAATATGTAGGAAATTTGAAACAGAGGAAGAGAAAGTACTGCCTTTCTACTCCTCAGCACTGACTCCCAGTGAACAGGAAGAAGTCTCCGAGAGACAGAATCTGACACAGAACCCGGAAGACCTCACAGAGGAGCTGGCCAGGGTAAAGGCCGGGAGGGGAGGGTGGGGGCTGGGCAGCATGTACTGAAGGCTGCATCACCTGCCTCCTTCCTCCACCTCCCCTCACAGGCTATGGTGGACTATTCAGGGATGGAGAACTTCTGGAAGAGATACAACAAGGTGAAGCTGGAGGTGCTGAGTCTCCAGCACAGACGCACGCAGCTGTTAGACATCAGCGGGAAGCTGAGGGAGCTGCTCAAACAGTACCTGGACGGGATCTCAGTGAGCGATGAGGTGCTGAGCCAACTCAACCCGCTCTTTATAGTAAACCACAGAAGCAACCTGCCCCAGCTGTCCACCCCTGCCCAGCCAGAGGACAGAAGGCCTCCAAAGACTTACAACGTCATCGAAGCAGCCCATGTTGTCTCCCGTACCCTGTGATCCAAGGATGAACCTCTTTCCAAACCCCAGAGACTGAGTGCTTTGCTGATTACAAACTTAGGAGGCTCCTGATAGTACTCTGGTTATTGACTATCACTATCCCATACAGTATAATCAATAAATTATTGTTTTTAAATAATACAACTTTTTTCATGATTTATTTTTATGTGCAGTGGTGTCTCGCCTGCATGTTTATCTGTGTGAAAGTTGTCAGATCCCCTGGAACTAAAGTTATAGACAGTTGTGAGCAGCCACATGGGTGCTGGGAATTGAACCTGAGTCCTCTGGACGACCAGCCAGTGCTCCTTAACTGCCGAGCCATCTCTCCAGCTCCAATAAATTATTTTTAAAAATTGTAAGTTCCTAAAAACAAAACACACAAACAAAAAAACCAGGGTCTCATGTAGGCCTCAAACCCCATATGTAGCCGAGGATGACCTTGATCTTTTGTTCCTTCTGCTTCCTCTGGGATTACAGGTTGTAACACCGAATCAGTTTTATTGGTGCTACCAACTGAGCTCAGGTTTTTGCAGTCTACCAACTGAACCTTATTCCAGCCCTTGTGAGATCTTTATTGTCTTTGCCATATTGAAAGACACAAGGAACATTCAAGCCCCAGGGAGAGAACGCCTAGGCCTTTACTAGGTGAAATATGCTTCCTCCTCAGCATCATGGCAACATGGAAGCCAAATATACACCCAAGGACCTAGAGGCAGATTCAAGACCACCTTCCTGGGGTAAATTAGGACAGCAAGAGCAGGCCAGAGGAAGAGGTGCTCCAAGACCTCCAGCCGCTCAACCACAGGAAGGTCCAGCTCCCCAGTGCTCTTTCTTCTACCCAAGAAAGTGGCCTCAAAGTACTGGGTGAGCAAGGTGTGTTGGTACACATCTGTAACTGCAGCCTAGCCAGGAGGCTCACAAGTCTAAGGCCAGCTTGGGCTACAAATGCAAGACCCCATCTCAGAAGAAAAGGGGGAACCAGAGAGATGGCTCAACAGGTGAAAGGCTCATTTCTGTAGTGGGATGAGCTCAGTTCAGTCTCTGGACCCCACCTACAGTGGAAGGAGAGAACCAACTCCACACTGTTGTCCGATCTCCACATTCCAGCAAACATGCAAACATACAATAATAAGTAAAAAACGAAAAGAAAAAGGGTGGTAGTATCAAGTGAAGAATACAAAGTTTTGTTAAAGGTCACTATTTATTTCTTTTTACTCTTGTTTCGCTTCTCTTCTTTCAGCTTCTTTTTGGAGACTTTGGTTCTGCTGGACTTTTTATATAGGTGATACCCGATCAGACCCAGGAGTGCCGGCACCATAGCCATGCCCACCAGAGGCAAAATGCCCTTCAGCAGCTTTTGCCAATAGTTGGCTCGAATCAATGCAATCAGCTCCACATCATACTGTACCACTGCATCCGCTGGAGAGGCAGAGGGCAGGGGTAGTGTTAGAAGCTGCACCACTGCATCCACTGGAGAGGCTGTGTGGGATGGGGGAGGGGCGCATAGGATTGCTGTGATTTATCCAGAGCCCTGAATTGAGATTAAATCAGAGTAGGCTGCAGAAAATAAGTGTGATTATGGCCATTTGAAATGTGGGGTTGGACTCCCTCAGAAAAGGCAGACAGGGTTAGGAGCAGGCTAAGAACACTCATGTTGACTTTAACTACAACTAAACATGTGGCTTGTGATTAATGACAGGAAATCGATCACAGGAAATCTGTGGATGGGAAACATGCAGGTTCTTCCACATTGACAAGTGAGCATTTAGTATTTTATTTATTTAAAGATTTGTTTATTTTTATTTTATGTATATGAGTGTTTTGCCTAATGTATGTCTGTGTGCCATGTGCATGCCTGGTGTCTTTGGAGTAAGGAGGGGGTGTCAGATTCCCCAGGAACTGGAGTTCCAAATGGTGGTGAGCCACCATGTGGGTGCTGGAAACTGAACCTGGGTCCTCTGAGCCATCTGTCTGGCCCCACAAGCAAGCATTTATGTGTGACAATCCTCTGTACTAAACAGACCCCATTTCCAAACAGCCACATGGGTAGGATTTTGTAGGGCTACAATTAGCTGGAATAAGAGCAGATATTCTTAAAAATTCCAGCAGCCGATGAGCACATACAAGATTATTAGAGTATTTTCAAAGAAGGGCTGGAAAAGAAGAGAGGTACGTTTGAGGAAGCCGGTGGACAGGACTCAGTTTCAAACAGAAGCCAATAGGCAGCACTGGGGGGGGGAGTTGCTAAAAGTTTTGTTGTTGTGTTTTACTTTTGAGACAGGATCTCACTCTAGCCTCAGCTGTCTTGGAACTCACTCTGTAGACCAGGCTAGCCTTGAATTCACAGAGATCACCTGCCTCTGCCTCCTGAGTGCACAAGCACACCTGCTTGTTAAGAGAGATTTCACTTGGTCCTCCCTGCCCTCTTTTCAGGGCTCCCTAAAGGCCAGCACTAGTATAACATGTTTCCAGAACTCTGTGGAATAGATCACATTTTACCTAATAGAATGGGTGTTTTACCCCAAAGCTAGAAATCCCATCTTGGAAAAATCTGTCTAATCTCAACCCTTCAGAACAGGTATCGGCAGTAGTACATAAAGGTAAATTCTAGGAGTCAGTCATCAGGGCACCTCCTTACCAGCTGTGTGAGGGCTCTCAAAGTCGCCCTTTGGTTTCTTTTGACTCACTTCAGTGTAGGCAGCAAGACCCATAGGGCTCAAGGTATCAAAAGTTGCCAGCTGCCTATGGTTGAGTCAAGTGGTCCTAACAGGTTAACACTAAAGTGTCTTTAGTCTCAGGTAGGCCAGAAGGAGGGGGCCCCAGCTACTCCTTTGCTCAAATTTGATATGGACTTTCTCAACTTCTAGACAGAACAGTGTGTGTGGCTCTCTGGGCTCTGTTTTGATGAGTGGGAGAAAAGACCTACTCAATTACCTGGGATAGACGGTGGGTACCCTCGCTTTCCATAGGCCAAGTGAGAAGGAATGACTGCTCTTCGCTTCTCTCTGAGGGAAGGAATGAGAGTCGCAGGTGGGAGAGTGGTGAGCTGCCAGCCCTGGCCCAGTGCCACCAGAAGTACCTCCCACCTCAGATAGTGACACCAAAATGTGAATTTTCCCACTTAACAAGTTGACCAGCAATGGAACCAATCACTCTACACACCTCAACTCCTCCTCCCCCAAATACCCACAGCCAGAGAGGTGCCCTCAGCTTTCTTTGGATGCCCTCATGGGTCCCTCTGACCTGTACCTTCCCACCATGAAGTCAGGGGCCCTTTATTCTGCAATGTCCTGCCTATGGGATCTGCAGGACGGCAGAGAAAGCTTCCACCCAGGCAAAGGGGTAGTCAGGCTCGCCCCCTCCCGATACTCACCCCACACACATGTCCAGCAGGCTCTGTTCCAGACCTTGAGGAAGAAGACAACTGAACTAGAAGCTACACACCACCCAAGAGGAAAATACTCCCCACGCCACCCAAGAAGAAAGTCAAAGGCTCCCAATTGAGCTTTACTCCACTTCTCAAACTCTTAGCCCTCTGTGATGTGTGGGACACAAGGAGAATTTGAACACGAGGTAGCCAAAGATCCTTAGGGTCGTACTCATTCTAAGAGTCTTACCAGCGTAACTTAGATGGTCAAGACACTAAGCAAGGGCTTAGGTTAGAAAGAGGACAAAGGCACAGGTCACATACCTGGAATCACCTGCTTTTGGCCAAGTTCTATAACCAGAGGATCTCTGGTCAGAGATGTGTCAATAATGCGTCCATCTACCAAGCTTCCCTGAAGACAAAGAGCCAGAACTAACCCCACCGTTTGTGCCATCAGACAGACCACACACAACTGGGACCACCCGGGTGAGGTGGCAGCAACCCTCGAAAACAGCCTTGCATCCTGTCCCCCTCTCCCACTCCCATCCCCACCCCCGTGGGGCGAAAAGGAACAGGAAGCCCCAAGGGGCTGACACTTCTAGGAGATCTCTCCACCCTGCATTTCCCAGTGCTGGAGAGAAACTGGCGGGAAAGCAGGGAGGAGAGAAAGAAGCAGACCAGAGGCCACCCAGACTCCCGTCCCCACGTGCTAGCCGAGGAGAGAAAGAAGCAGACTAGAGGCCACCCAGACTCCCGTCCCCACGTGCTAGCGGACCCTAGGGTTCAGTCTCTCGCACAGCCTGCCACGTGTCCAAGCCAAAGCTGACGTGTTTCTCATACGGGCGCCGCCCCCTCCCAGACCACGCCCCGGCCCCCCAGGCCCCTCACCGTGTAGTGTATGTGGAGCGTGTCTCCAAAGGCGGCGGATTCCGTACACGATTCGGGGGGCTGTACCTATGATCAGACTACAAGGGTCAAGGCTGCTGCTCCTCCTAAGACCGTTTCTAACTACATCGAGACCCAGCACCGTCTCCCCCGACTCAGTTCCAGCACTTCCTCTCCTCTTCGTTCACAGGTTCATTGAGAGCCCCGTGCTCCCCACAGCCCTTGGCTGGCCTTGCTGGGTGGCGGTGGCGTGGGTGGGGGAGTAGGAGGGGATGGGGAGGTGGCGCGACAGTCTCCTCACCAGGGTCTCCACTTGGAGGGTCCGGACAGGACTTTCGGTTTCTGGCCCGACCTCAGCCCAGCACACCACCCCACTGAACAGAAGCAGCAGCAGCAGCCGGAGCGGCCAGAGCAAGGGGCGCAGGGACATGACGGGACCAGGTCAGGGGTGCCAGGCAGGACAGGCTGTTCGGGTGCAGGCGACCAGGACGTGTTCCCTCAGCTCCAGGCCAGACTGGTATGGGCGGGTCGCAAGGAGCGAGCTCCTCCTCCTGCTGCAGCCCTCCCCCCACCTTGTCCCCACCTCCTGGAGGGAAGGAGCAGCAAGCAGCATTCCCTACCCTGTGATCCTAGCGACGGATTCCAACCCACCCGTTAGCCGTTCAGTCCCATGACGAGGGTTGGGCCAGGTGACAGCACCTATTTGCCTTTACCCACTGTAAAGGGGCATTAGTCTCTAACCTTATAGTCACGGGAGGTACAATCGTTCCCATTTTACAGCTAAGGAATATGCCCAAGGTCATCATGCCAAATGGTGACAAGACAGGATCCAAGCACAAGACTCCATTTGTTTTTTTTTGTTTTTTTTTTTTTCTTTAAGATATGTTCCCTCCCACTAAGCAGGCAGAGGCAGGTGTCCAAGACAGCCGGCTCTTCACCTTTCCTGGTCGTTCTGCTCTCGGTTTCGTCCAGAAAGGGGGGGGGGGCTGGAGCAGCCCCCCCTCCCCGTCTTGGAGGGGTATCTTCCTGTAAAAAGGGAATCCGTCGCTCACCTTTTCCTTCCTGTTTTCCCTCAACACCCTTTTCACAACAGCAGCTTGCCCAACGGTCTTGTGTTTATGCAAGGGCTTCAGTTTTTAGAAGGATTTCAAGTAATTTTAGGCGGTCTTACCAGTTTCCCTTTTCATGATTTGAACCCTTCCTGAAAACCTAAACTGTGGCACCTAGACCCTGGCCACTCAAAGGCTGTCTCCGGTCGGTTCCATACCACACTCTTCTTGGCTCACCGTCCTCTTTAGCACTGATACTGTTCTCCGCCACAACTCCACCTTGTCTGGTCAGCAATTCAGCCTACACACACCCAACACACACACTTCCTCTTATTTGAAACAAGCTGACTCTCCTGCCCTGGCCTTTCTGATGGCTCTTCACTATTGGTACCGAGATCATCTCATCTTTAATATCTACCCAATCTCCCTCGGGGCTCTCCTTCCCCAGCCTCTCCAGTGCCTCCATTTCTAGGACTACTACTCTAAGCTATCATTTTCTCTGTTTTGTGGTACCAGAGATCAAGTCCAGGCAAATACCACTGAGCTAATGTCCCTTATCCTAGGAATTATTTTTTTAAAAAAAGAAAAGAAAGAAACTCATTGTCAGGGGCTAGAGAGATGGATGCACTTGCTGTTCTTCCAAAGGATCAGAGTTCAATTCCCTGAACCTGTATCAGATGGCTCAAAAATGCCTATAACCTTGCCAGATCCAAGGGTGCCAACATCCTTATCTGGCTGCCACAGGTACTCACACACATGTGGCATACAGATATACATAAATACATATAAGCACAAATAAACCTTAAAAAAAATAAAACCTCACTGCCAGCCGGGTGTGGTGGTGCACACTTTAATCCCAACACTCAGGAAATGGAGGCAGACAAACTCCTGTGAGTTTCAGGCCACCTAGGACTACATAGTTAAATTCTGTCTTAAACAAGCACAAACCCAGAGAACCCTCACTGTACAGTGGGGTATGGTGATGCACACCTACAATCCCAGCCTATATAAAACCCCTTCTCAAATATTAATTAAAATGACAGCCAGCAGGAATTCCTGGGGTTGAGGGAATGCTCTCTATATGGGGTTACATGGATGTGTGCATTTTTAAAACCTACCAGATGTATTCCTAACATCTGCACACGTGGCTAGGGCTGTAGCTCAGCAGTAGAATGCTTGTCTAGAGCTTAATCACCAGTACCAGCAGCTAACAAGACATAAATGTAAGCACTGAACACATTGTTTTAGACTGCTTGGAAGGCACCAACCGAGCTAGGAACCATGCCAGTTCATGCTCTACTCCTCTCGACTATCAGCCTCCTCCCTTCTTTCTGTACCCAGAAAGTACACAGGATGCGTTATGCTGTAGCAATCATATTGGGACATAGTGATGGAAGGTGGGTCCTAGATGGTGAAGCACCAAGGTGGACAGCTAAGTCTTTGGAAAGCGGAGACCCACCGTGCTAGTCCTTTTATGGAGACAGTTCTAACATATTTTTGTCTTTTAAAGGTAAGCCTCCCTCTTTACACCATCTGTACACTGCTACATGCATTCTATATGTCACCTGCCATGTCACCAAAAGCTTACACAGTTCCACACTGCCCTGTAAATCAAACTGACTCCTTGACATGCCAGTTAAAAGCTTGTCACCCAGCCCTCCTTTCCCGAATGGGTCATTTATTAAACTGAAAAGCCTTTTTCTAAGAAGTCCAGGCCTGTCAAGGGGTGGTGGCACACACTTTTAATCCCAGCACTTGGGTGGCAGAGGCAGGCAGATCTCGCTTTGGAGGCCAGCGTGGTCTACAGAGCAAATTTTGAACTTGGGATCCTCCTGACTCAGACTGGTAAGTGCTGAGATAATAAATGTGTTCAACCACTCTTGGCTCTGAAGAGAGGGAAGCAGACAGAGCCTTGTGCCTCTCACTTTTGTATCTTCAGTGTCCATGCCTGCCACGAAATAATGTGTATTACTTACATCAGATTTCCCTGCTGCTGGACTATGGTCTGGCTTCAGATGAGCCTACCTACCATGTGTTCTCAGTTGGCCCCCTTTATCTGGTCCACACCCTCCAAGATGTTTAACTGTTTTCAATTCCTAATTCTCTTAGCTGACTTTCCCTACTTCTGAACTGAAGCATACGCTACTTGTTTAGTTATTGTGCATGCCTTATTTCTCTTTTCCATTTCCCCCAAAGAGCCAGCACATTGATAGACAAAGTATATCGTGCCTAGACCTCCCTAGGGACTAGCTGCACAATACTGGACAAGTTTTTCATTTACCTTTTCAAGCAGGGTCTCTTGTAGTCTGGACTGGAGTCAAAGCAAAGTTGCCTTAAACCCTCTTTAAAAATTATTTATGGCATGTGTTGACAGATCTTTGACGAAGTTGAAGACTAGATAGTCACAGCTAATATCCCCTCTTATCTTAGCTAGAGCATATTAGGTACAAGCGTTAGACTTTCCAGAATAGAACAGCTATTGGAGTAATCTCTGTAATATGGCATTTACTCTTGGCTTGGACATCTAGTATGTTTCTTAATTATGTTGCTCTTGGTGGTTGTATAGGTGTAAATTTTTGTTTATCCTGGATTATACTTGATATCTGTTACCACTGTATATAGTTTTGTGTCAGGTTTAAAACCCTTTTATTTAGACAAAAAGGGAAAGTGTAGTGGCATCTTGTTCCACCAATAGATTTGAGATACCAGCCTTAGGGTGTGGCTTTGGTGAGCAGACAGATGCGATCCCTTATAAGAAAGAGGGGCCTCACTCTCTTGGGTTGTGGTCTGAGCATCCTGCATCACAGAATCCTGCGCATCCAGGAGCAGAAGACGGCAACAGCTATTTACCTTCATTGTGTGAGTGTTCCCCAAATAAATGCGTTATTCTTTATTCGGGCATTCGTGGACTTCCTTTACCATGCCTTCAAGGCATGTGCCATGGTATGTGTAAATTATTACGTGTTTACAGGTAGGCATGTGCACAGTATGTGTGGAATCAGAAGACAACTTGGGAGAGCTGTTCTACCATGTGGTCAAGTAGTCTGGCTTGGTGGCAGGCGTCTTTTCCTATGGAAGACCTCACTAACAGCCTTGAACTCTAGTTCCTCCTCTGCCTCCCAAGTGCTGGGATTATAAGCATTCAAACCACAACCAGCCAAATGTTTTATTTTTTTTCTTTTCTGAGACAGGGTTTCTCTGTGTAGCCTTGGAGCCTATCCTGGCACTCGCTCTGGAGACCAGGCTGGCCTCGAACTCACAGAGATCCGCCTGCCTCTGCCTCCTGAGTGCTGGGATTAAAGGCATGTGCCACCAACGCCCGGCCAAATGTTTTATTTTTAATAAGTTGTTGAGAAACCACTTAAAATTACTATGAAAGTCTCTAAGACAAATATATAAGCTTCAGGTTAAGAAGTAAAATATATGTGATATGAACTCATATTTTAACTCCTCCCCAAATATGTGTAGGTGCATATATTCAGAAAAAGAGCAAGGGCTGGGCTGGGGCGCAGTTCAGTAGAATGCTTGCCTAGCATGCATAAAACCCTGCATTCAACCACAACACTGCATTAACTGTGCTTGGTGGCATACACCATAATGCCAGTACTTGGGAGGTGGAGAGGAACTAGAATCCAAGTCGTTCTCAGCTACATGAGTTCATAGAACAGCCTGGGATACACAAGACCCTCCTTCCTTCTCCCTCTGCCCACCCCCCATCTTGAGACAGGGAGTGAGAGCCTGGCAATTGTTAAGAGCTCTCTAAGCATTTCACTGTGTCCCTGTACCCTGCCAAGCAGCGTTAGTTCTGGTGTTTTGTTTTGCTTTGAGACAGGGTAGCCCTGGCTATTGTGGAACACAAGCTATGTAGATCAAGCTGGTCTTGAAATAAAAAAGATCTGCCTGCCTCTGCCTCCTGAGTGCTGGAATTAAAAGTTGTATGCCAGCCGGGCGTTGATGGTACATGCCTTTAATCCCAGCACTGGGGGGGGTGGGGGAGGCAGAAGCTGGTGGATCTCTGTGAGTTCGAGGCCAGCCTGGTCTCCAGAGTGAGTGCCAGGATAGGCTCCAAAGCTACACAGAAATCCTGTCTCGAAAAACGAAAAAAAAAAAAAAAAAAGTTGTATGCCACCCAACCTGGCCAAAGACCCTGTCTCTTAAAAAAAAAAAAAAAAAAAAAAAAAAAAAAAAAAAAAAAAAGATGCACCCCAATGGCTGAGGATGGTGGTGTTAGGTTTTCGGATGAGTGGGAAGAGTAAAGGGAGCAGGTACAACATGGTGTTCCATCAAATGTATGCCCGAGATCTGTTCATACTTATGTATTGTCTAGATCACTGACAATAAAAGCTGCTTGGTCATAAAAAAATATGTGAGTGAACAAGATCTGAATCAATACAAGACAGGGGCTCTAATACAGTTTCTCGTGTTGTAGTGACCCCAACCATGTATTATTTCATTGCTACTTCGTAACTGTAGTATCTGATATGCAGGATATCTGACATTCGACCCCCAAAAGGGTCATGACCCACAGGTTGAAAACTGCCACGGTAAGAGACTATGTAGAAGGCGAGGGTGCTACCAGAGCCAATGGAGCTCTGGTAGAAGAGTAAAAAGACCCTGTAGAGGTCTCGAACTCCATGAAGAGGTGAAATTTGAGCTGCATCTTAAAGTAGTATTTGCTTTGCGCTTTTTGAAGTCTCATGTAGCCCAGGTTGGCCTCAAGCTCATTATATAGTGAAGGCTGACCTTGAACTCTAGCTCCCCCTGCTGTCACCTGCAAGGACTGAGATTATATCACAAGCTCTCATGCAGCGTTGGTTATGAACCCAGCCCTTGTGTAAGTGAGCACTCTGCCACCAGAGCTCCATCCCTAGCCCCTTACTGTGGGGTTATTACACACGTGAGAAAAGAGGGCAAGTGGAGGGAGGGTAAGAGCTGGTGCCAGAGAACCTGGAGTACGGAAGGCAGTGGAACACAGTGAACGCAGCTGTCCTCGAACGGCACACAGAAGCAGTGGCTAAATGGAGCGGTGGCACACAGGCAGATGGTGGTCTGGATTCTGAGGCTCTGTAAGGCGCGATTCGAGGGAAGTGGGAAGGAAAATGTGAGACTATCTGAAACTGAGGGGCTTGGCCAGCTGGTGTATCTTTGATCTCTGAAGAAATTGGCAAGTTCCAGGCCAATGGGGCCACAGATGAGACCCTGCCCCCACCTCCACCCCCCCCACAAAAAAACCCAACCTACTGAGGGCAACTTACTGAAATGCCCCAGGAAGGGTCAGGGAAGACTCATTTCCGTTGGACTGAGAAGGAACTTAAAATTATGATTCTGAGAAAGGCAGGAAAGCTGCCTAATGGCACAAGTGGAAACCACACCCAGAAAGGCCTGAACCTTGAAGTGTCCGAAGTCAGTGTGGCTTATTCAGGTCACCCACATGGTAGCCAGGTGTAAGCAGGGCACTGGCTTCCCACCACCCCCTCTGTCACTAGAGACTGAATCAAGGCCTTACTGTGGTTTTTGTTTGTTTGTTTTTTCCTGGTACTGTGGATGGAAGCCAGAGCCTTGAAGGTTAGCGCCCAAATCCTGTGGCTACTTTAACCAAGAACACTTACCACTCCATCCATGCAAGATGTGGCAAAGACAACACATATTCACCTCTCATCTATAACCTGTAGCAATTGGGTCTTCTTTGCTGTATTTGTAAATTCCTGTGGTTCAGAGCCTCAAGCTCAGCCTTCTATCCCCCAACTCTCTGTATATAACCCTGTCCTAGGACTGCCCCCACCAAGACAGCTGTTTTGTGTACTCAGCGATCAAACCCAGGGCCTCCCAGAAAGTGGTCTAGTAGTGAGCTACAAGAATGGAGGAGTGGGGACGGGGCACACGTGAAAGACTTAGTCCAAAAGCTTTTGCCTTGTCTGACTGCCAGCTAGCTGGAAGGAAGGTGGCTCTGAGATGGGTTAGTGGGAGGAAGCCTGTGTAGAGAACTGCTCAGCTCTATGCACAGGGCACAGCAGTTTTACCTCCAGCGTCCTCTCCTCTTCCACACTTGCTCTAACTGAAGCCCAGATGCTCCCCTAAGGCTAGCTGGCAGCCAGAGTGACATACACACAAGCAGACACTTAACCTACTAGCTTTGACAGACGACAGTCCTGATCCAACTTCCTCACTGCCAGACCCTCACTGCCTTCACCAACTTTGTTCTCTTTACCATGCTCAAGGTTTCCACTTCCTTAGCCCTAACCCTCTGCACCTTTCTCAAGAGTTCAGGGTCATTCTTACCCATTCCAGCAACTAGGGTCAGGAAACCCAATTAGAGAAGCCTGCGGAAGGAAAGTATTTGGATTCTGTCATTCCCCAGTGACCTCTCCAGCTGCTGGGTTAGAGAGGGAACCAAAGATGGTGCTTAGTGTTATGATAGCCTGTCCAGGGCATCACTCCCTGTACTGAGCAGCAGGAAAGGTGGGGTATCCTCCTTGGCCATTCCCAAGATTTTAAAAGATGCCAGAGCATCCTGAAGTAGATGCCCAGCTCCCCCTGAAAACAGTGGTTTAACCCATTTTCAACAAATGCCTAAACAGAGAGAGCAGTATGTCTCTGCTCACTTTCTATTCTACCTGAATGTGTGTGCTTGAACTGGTGGTTAGGTGCAGGAGCCCCCAGAAACTGCAGACACTACACCAAAAGGATAAGAAACACATCCCTGTGAAGGGGACAGTTTTGTCTTTCAGCTCACCTAAGCCCACTTCCCCCGTGTTCACTTTGGAAGCTGCCTTTCCCAGATGACTCTAAAGTACTATCACTTGGATCTGGGTTCTCTGTCAAATTATGACAAACGAGTCACGGGAGGATATCTACCTTAAGATACCTGGGCTTATCTTTAGGTTCACTGCCCTCATCCTGTATTCCCTCAGAGCTGATAGGTTTGGGCAAAAGCCACAGACAGAGGGCTCCTCTAACTCCCTTGAATCACAGGAAAGAACCAGTCATCCACTTCTCCAAGTTGTTCTGGTGTTATCTATCAGTCTGTCACTAAACTGAATTGCTTTTTATTATTTACTTTTTGGGGGTGGGGGGGGTGGGAGAGGCGGTAAGAGAAACATAGACCAGGGTGGCCTCAAACTTTCAGAGGTCTTCCCACCTCTGCTTCCGGAGTGCTGGGACTGCAAAAACACCCAGTTGCTATTATTATTGTCCTATGAAAAATTACAGCTGAGGCTAGGCTCACAGGCACATGCCTGTAATCCAGCACGTGGGGAACAAAGGCAGGAGGATGGTTACAAATTTGAGGTCAGCAAGGCATGCAGTGGTGACACACAATTTTAATCCCAGTACTTCAGAGGCAGAGGCAGGTGGATCTCTGTGAGTGAGTTCCATGCCAGCCTGGTCTACAGAGCAAGTTCCAGGAGAGCCAGGGGTACACAGGGAAACCTTGTCTCAAAAACCAAAATAAGGAAAAGAAAATGCAGTTCAGAAAGTGATCTATTTATTAATAAATAAAGAACTTAGAAAGATGTTCCTAACTAAGAACTGAGGGAGCCTGGAGGAAGGACAGTGAATAACACTTAAAAACACAGGGCTGGTGAAGGGATGTGTGGCTTAATGGCTTGGAAGCCAGAGCCATAACAAACAGCACTGGTTCTTGAAAGTGATGACTCGGTAACGAGAGAAAGGCTGAAAGGAAAACGAGCAGGGAAAGAAATGGGGAGGAAACTGCATGTCAGTTAAAAGTTCATAATAGCATGTTGGACTTGAACTCAGTACTGAAGCAAGGGGCAAGAGGGAGGGGCTTCCCTGCTCACCACCCCTTTTCTCTGGGAGGAGATAGACAGTGATAGCAGCAGAGGAAAGAAAAGTGGAAGGAACAGGGGAATGTCAGCTTCACAGAAAATCTGTGGCGTTTCTGGATGAGGCTTAGCACTGACATGGAAACCCACATACCCCAAACACAGCTAGCTGTACAGGGCATGGCACTGACACGCAGACCAAGTTTTTATACTGCCCAGATGTTTGCTCTTTGTGCTTACTCCCCAAATCCAGGCTTAGATGGGTGAGAAGACGCCAATCTATGCACAGGGTGGTCATCTTCAGACTACACACACCTAATTTCCAGTGTTGGAAAGATCTAAGGCTAGAGGAAGGAAGGGGTTCTCCAAGTTCAGGGCCCGCTAATGGCTTTAGTCCCTGAAGCATTGGTTCCCACCCTTCCTAATGTCATGACCCTTTAATACAATTCCTCATGTTATGATAACCTCCAACCATAAAATTATTTCATTGCTACTTCATAACTGTCATTTTGCTACTGTTATGAAACATAATATAAATATTTGATATGCAGGATATCTGCTATTCAATCCCCGTGAAAGGATCATTTAACTCCCACAGGATTCTCAACCTATAGGTTGAGAAACACTGCCCTGAAATCTATCAACAGGTGGTAAGCAGAGCTAAGTTCAGGGCTGAGCCCCTCAGATTCAGTCAGTCACAGAGCCCTCATGCTCTGGTGCTTGGCTCATTTAGACGTCCTTCTGGGCGTGGTGAGAAGAAGGACTTACAATCAGTGTTCCCAACAAGCTTCAGCTTCTCCACCCACTGAAGATGTCCTCCCACCTCTGCAGAAAAGGAAAGGGACCAGTAATGGGGCGTCCCGCTGCCACATAGCTGCCGCACAGCATGAAGGGCTCCTCCAGAACTGCATAAGACAAGTTTAATTGCCAACCAGGGTCACAGTCATTGCATTATCCCACATTTTTGAGCAAGGAAGAGAAGGTGAGTTATTAAACATATACAGTCTACATTCCAGAGAAAGGAAAAAGAAAAACCCACTTCATAACTGCAGATACCACTATAACATCACAAACTTTGGAGGCGGAGGGAAGGGGGAATCCCCAGAAAGCTGGAACAAGGAAGATCAAAAATTAAACCAACTTGAGAAAAGCAGGAGAGGGGATTTACAGAAATGGAATGGAACTTCCAACCCCCAAAGACCTGTTAGGTGAATGGGAATATAGAAAGTGCTCCCCTCCCCAGGAAGTAGAGATGATACCAAGATGTTACTGCCCCCTGCTGGACATCTCTGGAGCAGCACCAAGGCAACATCCAAGGCTGCTTCACCCTGCTCAGCCTCAGGTTGGTCCCAGGAGGCTGAGAAAAACAAGATGCTAGGGGAGTGGGTGGAAGAGTGGAAGGAAACCTGCAATATACGAAACCTATTTGGAACTAGCATCTAAGAAGGGAAGGTCAGAAAGCATGGCAGAGAAAGAAAGTCCTCACCAATCACAAAGATAGAGAAAATCAAACAGAAGACAAAAACAAGGAAAAGAAAACCAGACAGGCAACGACAGTGAATGAACTGAGAAGGCAAAGCAGAGTTCATAGAGTGGCAACAGAGGTGGGAAAAACCAAGAAACAGGAAAAAAAAAAGTGTGGAGGGTTGTGTCCGGAGTGAGAGTAATCCATTTTAAAATGAAACAGAACTCCCGGCACCCCCCCACCCCATGTACACATCAAACACACACACACACACACACACACACACTCTCTCTCTCTCTCTCTCTCTCTCTCACAACACAACACAACCACGTGGCATCTGGGGTTTAGTAACAGCACTAGTGCACTGAGGGACACCCCTGGAACCTCTGGGGGTGGGGTAGGCTGGGGAACTGACTTGCCTGCTGTACACAAAGCTGGCAGGAAGCCTGGCCAGAGTGGAGCTCAGAACAGCCCTGGGAAGGGGTCCCTCAGCCATGCTGGAGAGGGCCCAGGGTCCTGACCTTGGCAGAGAGGTTATGGCTGATGGTTGGGAGCTCAGGGCGCAGCCAGCACACACAGGAGCTCACAGAGCAGCCACAGCTTCACTGCAATGACTATATCAGGATCCAGGTCAGAGCCTCAGGAACAAGCACCCCCTGCAAACCCCCAGCAGCACCTGAACAACCTGTGCAGGATGGAGGCAGGGCCCTGAAGATCACTGTCCCAGTACCAGCCACACACCCTCTAGACCTATTCAGGAAAGTGTTTGAGAGCTGAGAAAAGCTGCCAGGAGAGGGCATCAGGGACAGTCTGAGCCCCGCCAACAGCAGAAAATCATCTTTTAGCTGGTCCTGCATGAGAAAGAGACTAGAGCATAGGGGTTGACACTGAGGTCTGCTATGTCACCCCCACTCCGTGGCTTCTCGTCACCTCACCTGGTCAGTCCTCAGCAGCCCAGCAGACTACTAGGTGAGAAAACCTGACAAAGAACAGATGGAGCCACCCAGTCCCCAGGGTCAGAAGACTGAGGAAGGTACAGCACAGCAGAAGCAGGACTGCTCCATGCCTTACCTTCTCCTAGTAACAAGAACAAGATGGAAAACAGATCAAACTCCACCCTTTGGCGTGCAGGGCCCACTAACCCTATCCCTCTGAGCTCCTGGGGAGTAGATCTTATAATGGTGGAGGAAGACCAATACAACACTCTGGACTGATGAAAGTGAGTGGGTTACTCTCTCCTCCCTACCAAAGAGGCAGCGTAGAATGGCATCTAATCCTTAGGAACAGTCATCTAGAGATAAATACCATTTCTTGCGATCATAAGGGTGGAGAAGAAATATAAGGAAGACGGCTGGAGTCCACCATCTGTCCTAACATCCAGGACCACCACCTGTGGAGAGGGAAGCAATGGGACCCACCCACATTTCCTCCTTTATCTTACCACACAGAAGGGGCAGATGACAGGCGCCATTGGGCAGTATCCATCCTGGCTGCAAGCCCTGAGCTGCACTCCACTCCCCACCCCACCCCACCCCCGTCCCCACATATATATATCTCTCTATACACGTATATACAGGCGCACACATGCACGCACACACAGAGAGGCCCGTGCAATTTCCATGTAGAATAGGAGAGGGTGTAGGAGGAAAGGAAGACAGGGAGGAGAGTGGCCAGGCAGACAGGGAAGGGACTCAGATGCCAAGGGCACAGCAACCAGTGCCAAACAGCAAACAGAGAGAACACCCCCACTCTTCCTCCTGAAACCCAACAGGGAGACCACCCCATGAAACCATAACAGCCTCATTTGTTTTAAATCCAGTAAATTGGAATGACTCATCATCAGGACAGCGGTTGGGGACTGATCGTGTCAGAGGACAGGGAAGGAGGAAGGGAGGCACAGGAGGCAAGGCTCTTTCTGGGCATGTAGACATGACACCCAGGACCTCGACCACACTTTCAAGAGGAAGGATAGGGTAAACTGGGGGAGGGAGACAACAGGTATGTGTCAGGAGTGGGTGGGGTAGTCAGATAGGGCTGCCTGGCTCTCACTTCTTGTTTTTGAGCTGATTGGCCAGCCAGTCCAAGCCTTCATACAGCCCGTCCCCGCTGGTAGCACAGGTGGCCTGAATGTACCAATTGCGGTGACGCAGAGAATGCAGCCCCAGCTTGTCTGTGATTTCGGCAGCGTTCATAGCATTCGGCAAATCCTGCAGTACAAGGGAGACACACAGATACTTCAGGGTCTTCCACAGCCTTCTAGAGCACCCATTTACCAAAAGGCACACACACGGCCACCTTCTCCTTCATCTCAGGATCTGAAGGGACTACTCTAGGCCTAGCAAAGTAGACAGCTATTCCATGAGGAGTGGCAGGGTTATGTATGTGTGAATCAGACAGCCAAAGAATCAAGTCTGACAGGGGCAAGGCCAGTTCTGCTATAGTGCACCACAGGGAAGATAAAAACTCTGAAGAGACATATCTACTACGTTAACCGAGGACTAAAACGCTGCTAAATACAACTGGGCTTGGGAACAAGGAAAGGGACATGAAGACGCCAACTGCTTGTACTTCCCCCACTACCACATTTACAATAGTAGTCACGGACCTTCCCACACAATGACCCCCAAGGCTCCACGGTACCTATGGTCAGGTTGCTCTCTCCCAAATGAGGAAAAGGGAGACACCTCACCTGTTTGTTTGCAAACACGAGCAGCACAGCATCCCGGAGCTCGTCCTCTGCCAGCATCCTCATCAGCTCCTCTCGGGCCTCATTTACTCGTTCCCGGTCATTGCTGTCAACCACAAATATCAAGCCTAGAGAGGCAGAGAGAGGATGGGACATACAGAGATAACAGATGTCTCCTCCCCCATCACCACACCCTCCAACCACATGCTCCCTTTTCTCCACTTCCAGGAGCTGCATCAGGGCAAGGACTGGCTACCCATAACTGAGGAAGACAGTCATGCTCTGCACAAACCCAGCAAAGTAATGCCAATCCCAGGAAGTTTATCTGCCATACCTTGGGTGTTCTGGAAGTAGTGTCTCCAGAGGGGTCGAATCTTGTCCTGGCCACCTACGTCCCATACTGTGAAGCTGATATTCTTATATTCCACTGTTTCCACATTAAACCCTTTGGGGGGAAAAATGTCAATGGCCACTGGCCTCAAACACCAGACCTACAAATAGTGACCCAGTGAGTTTACTTCCATTTCTCTCTTCTCAGCTTTGGACATGATACCAACGACAGAAAGCTTAAGGGATTCTAGGATTGGTAATCCTTGTCCTGGATAGCCTAAAAGAAAATCTAAAAGAGCTGGAAAATGGGTCAGTGGTTAACAGCACTTGTTTTTGCAGAAGACTAGGGTTCAATTCCTAGCATCCACATACTGGATAGCCTAAAAGAAAATCTAAAAGAGCTGGAAAATGGGTCAGTGGTAAACAGCACTTTTTTTTGCAGAAGACTAGGGTTCAATTCCTAGCATCCACATTGCTCACAACCATCCATAACTCCAGTTCCAGGGGATCTGACACCCTCTTCTATCTTCCACAGACACTAGGCAAGCATACATATGGTGCTCATACACACATACAGGCAAAACACAAACACACATTCTCTCTCTGTATCTGTCTCTCTCACACACACAGAACGAAAACCTAAGAAATCAAAAACAATGAAGTCTGATCAGTAGGCTCACAGCTGCCTAGGTAATGGGTAGTGTGAACCAAGCCTCTCTCCATTCATTCAGATTCTGGTTCTCCATTCCATGAAGAGACAACTCTATTCTGTCCCTCGGTCACTAAAATGCATCTAAGCTAAGCTGTGTGGGGCTGAGAGGCAGAGTAAAGAATAAGACATGAGTACAGAGCTGGAGGCCCCAAGCCTCAGGATGACGACCCAAAGCCCCATGTTTGTAGCAAATGTTCTGCCCTGAGCAGGCAGGTCTTAACCAAGATCACCACTGAAGATCTAAACCAAAGCAATTCCAGGCCTCTGGCAGGAACATCAAAGCCCTTCACCTGCTTTCCAAACAACACAGAGAACAAACCAACTCTAATGCCTGAGGGCAACTGCTGAGTGCCAGGCTGCGGAAGTTCCCGCACCAGGAGGGCCAGGGCAGGTGGGCAAACGGCAGCTCCAGCACCTGCTGGTAAGTTAAGCAGACACTGTCTCTGAAGCCCACGAAATGTGTGGACTTGCCTGGGAAGAAGGGGCCAGGTGGGAGCCAGCTTGCCTTACCAATGGTGGGGATGGTGGTGACAATCTCCCCCAGCTTCAGCTTGTACAGGATGGTGGTCTTCCCTGCAGCGTCCAGGCCCACCATCAGGATGCGCATCTCCTTCTTCCCAATTAGGCTCTTCAGAAGGTTTCCAAAGATATTGCCCATGATTCCAGTGGCTGCCTTCTGAGGTCAATGGGGCCTAGGTAGGGGCAGTGGTAGTCTGGTTTTAGCCTGGTCCCTGGTATGGAAAGCTTGATCCTAGACAAAGGAAACACAAAGTCCTTACCATCATTTGCTTGTAAGAACTTCAGATTCATAGAAATTGCCAAAGTCATAGCTGGAGTTCATTCACTCCTGGCTGAGCACCAGGAGGGACTATGAATACTGAGGCCCACTCACACACACAGGACTGAAATTCTGAGAGCACAGGCAGAGAAGGAGACATGTAGGACCCTTGCTATGCCAGTGTGACCTACTGCAGCAACTCTAGGGAGGCTGATTATTTCATCTTTGCAGACTTGCACCTAAAAATTGACAAGGTTCTACCTGGTGATTTCTGAAGTCACCTCAGTTCTGATGTTGTTACACCCAAAGCACTGTGAGCCTGTCCGTGCCTCACCCTCCGCCAACCTTACCGAGACTTCTGAGAAGAGAGTGGAATGAGGAGTGGCTCTCTGTGACTGCTGAAAAGGCTCAGGCTTGCCAGGTTCCCAAGGTTCAGGCTCTGCTCTAGTCAAGAGCTGGTTCCTTCCCTGCCTCTAACTCTGTAATTCGACTTTCCTTCTGCACCAATGTAAATGAGGAAGAAAAACAGCAGGCATGAACCCTGAAAGAAGCTGAGCTTTGGCACTCTCTTATATTTTTGGTTGTGAACCTAGCCTTTAATGGCTATGCCATCTCTGCAGCCTGAGCTTCGCCACTCTCAACTACTGCAACTTGTGCCCTGTCGATACAACTGCATACTGCACTGGGGGGAGGGGCTTTGCTCTCTGCGGCCCACCCAGGGAGAGCTGTTCCTCAAGGTCACCTGCAATGAGGTGACCTCTACCTCACCCCTGCATCTTCCCTGTCCCCTTCATCCTGTTTTCCACAAAACAGCCGGGGCAATTTTAGAGGCCAAATCAGGTCATGTGGTTCCTCTGTTCAAAACCTTTGGTTGTTTCAAGTTCCCTTTTAGTAAACCCAAAAGCCCTTGCAGTTTTGGGTTCCTAAAACCTACAACAATGCTTGGTGCCATTCAACAGTTAAATTAACTCCAGCTCCAACAACCCAAATGCTCACGCCTAAAACCTACAACAATGCTTGGTGCCATTCAACAGTTAAATTAACTCCTAAGGTCTCTATTAATCCACCTCCAGCTCCAACAACCCAAATGCTCACCATGACATTATTGGTATACAGCAGACACCTAACATACACCTGCTAGGTGGACAAGGAGAGTGGGAAGAACCACTGCCAAGATGTAAGACACCAGCATGCCCATTCCAGCCGGTGCCACCGACAGAGCTCATGTACGGATGCATTCCTTCTTTCCCAGTCACAGGACAGCCACAGAACTGTGCATCTGAGACACTTGTGCTAGCTCACACCCATGATCTCCTCAATCAGGAAGTGGGGTCAGAAGAATCTTAAGTTCCAAACCAGTTCCACAACAAGACCATCTCTCAAACCAACCCTCATCCAAACAAACAAAAAACTTTTTAAAAATGTTCTATTATTTTTGTATTTATTTATTTTACCTTAGGTATGAGTGTTTTACTTGCATATATGTCTGCAACATATGTGTCCTTGAGCCCACAGCAGGCATCAGATTCCACTGGAGTTATGAACGGTTGTGAAGGGGGCTAAACTGATGGCTTAATGGTTAAGAGCACTGGCTGATCTTCCAGAGAACCTACGTTCAATTCTCAAGAACCACATGATGGCTCACAACCATCTATAATGGGATCCAATGCCTCTTCTAGCATGTGGACATACATACAGACATATGTAAAATATGTAAATAAATAAATCTGTTAAAAAAAAAAAAAAGAAAAAGCTCACCAGTTGTAAGCTGCTATATGGGTGCTGAGAAGTGAACCCAGGTTGTCTACAAGAGCAAGTACTCTTGACTATTGCGTCATTCTTTAGCCACCTTAAAATGTTTACACTAGGGCCTCAGGTGCCCAGGATGAACTTGATTACAGGTGTGGCCCACCACTTAAAAATGCAACACTCAAACAATTTGAAGTGAACCACCCTGCCAGCCAGTTCTCTGTGCTTCAGGAGGCACGTGTCAGAGGCAGCTTATTCAGCAATCACCATATGCCAGCTGCTGGCACTCTAGCAGCACACACACACAAACCTAGAAGAACAGGTTAAGACAGAGTGCATCTAAGCCCAGGAATGTAAAGGGTGGATGGCAAAGAATCCAATTTACAAGGTAAAGCATCAAAGTCTGGTCAGAGTTTAGTCACTTTTTTCAAAAACATCTTCAGGCTTATTTTTGTTCTGTTTTGTTTTGTTTTCCCTACTCATCTGTAGCAAATTCCAGCCCAGCGGATAGATGTCAGATCAGCAGCCCCTGCAGACTGAATACAAGGTTGTCCAAAAATAAAAAGAAACAATGAGTGCAATAGAGCCTTTCATCTTCAGACAGCTCCAGACACCCACTAATGAGCCAGGTGTGGCTCTCCCAAGAGGTTTCCCAGATAAGCCCTGCCTCTGACCCATGAAGTTCATACCCCAGAGACAGGGCTTGGCTCAACTTTAGGGTTCACCTCAGCCATGTTGCCTACTAGCCATCCTTGCCACCCTTCCTGCCCCAATTATCCAGTCAGGTCTAGGACTCTTGTGCATTCCTAGGGGAAGGCAGGAAGGAGCAGGGGTGACAGGAACACTTGTCCAGCTGCTAAGATCAGGTCATGGCAACCGTGGCAACCTCAGGCACATGGACTTCTGGTACCATGACCTCCACAGAAAACCTGCAAGTCTGGGGATCAAGCAAAGAGGTGGTATTTGTTGAAGGTCTGTTATTAGGCTCTGGCTGAAGTCTTAAACTTACATCATGCATTTCCCACTGCCCTTCATGACCAGACTAGCACCAATTACATGACAGTGAGAATAACAGCTGGAAGAGAAAACTGGCAGCTAATACCTGGTTCAGAGCCTCTAATAACCCTTTGCTCCCATTCTCTGCTCAACTGTCATACTGAAGTTACGACTCAGAGCTGACCGAAACTGAGCAATGGAGACTCTGACTCTTAGCGGTGGATCACTCGGCTCTAGTGTCGATGAAGAATGCAGCTAGCTGTAATTAATGCAGCATGTATTACCTTGTGAAGTTTGCTTTCTTATAAATTAGCACATACTCGCCTTCCCAATTAAAATGTAATCCCTACTGCAAGATCTATATCCTTTACTTAATAGGGCCTGCCTTCACTCCCATGACTAGCTAGATGACTGAGATAGCCCTGTATCCTTTCTTCTGTCCATAAGACTGGTACCTATGTACTACTGCTAGTTGATCAAATGTACTGTCAAACTGGGCACGGTGGTACATACCTGTGGTCCCAACACTTAAGACTCAGAGGCAAGAGGATCAGAAGTTCAAGGCCACCCATAGCTACCAGTCAAGTTTGATGCCATTCTGGGCTATAGGGGTTCTTGGGGAGGGAATAGTCAAGAATGAACCTCCTACCAAATCAACATCCACTACATTTCCATGCTCAGTGCCTATTGTCATTGTCACTATATACCCAGAATAAAGACTGGAAGGAACACTAATGGCAATAAATCCAGGGTGATGGACAAGCCACAAGAGACATGATGCTGCCTGCTAACCACCTTCTCCCAAAGCTAGCCCATGCCTCTTTCAAAGGTCCTGGAAGACAGGAAGACAAGGTACCCAGAAGGGAAAGGAGAAAAGCTGATGATGGCAAGGGTAGAAATAACCTAGAGGAAATTGGGGTACCAAACAGACCGGGCATAGAAAGCTGGAGGTGCTGCAGATGCCAATGGAAATGTGTGCATTTAAAAAAAAAAAAAAAAAGTTAGCAAGCAGTGGTGGTACACATCTTTAATCCCAGCACTTGGAGGCAGAGGCAGGTGATCTCTGAGTTCAAGGCCAGCTTGGTCTACAAAGCAAGTTCCAAGACTGCCTGAGCTGTTACACAGAGAAACCCACAGAAAAAATTTAAGTTAAAAAAAATTATATATATATATATATATATATATGGGGGACTGGAGAGATGACACAGTGGTTAAGAGCACTGACTGATCTTCCAGAGGACCTGCACCCACGTAGCAGCTCACAACTGTCTGTAACTCTTGTTCCAGGAGATCCAATACCCTCATAAAGATATTCATGCAGGCAAAACACCAATGTACATAAAACAAATAATTTGGAAATTTTTAATTTAAAAATTACATACGTATATATGTATATTTTTAGATTTTCTGTGGTTTTAGTTTTTTTTAGAGTTTGTAGAGTTTGCCTGCATGTGTGCATGTACACCATGTGCATGCCTAGTGCCCAAGGAAGCCAGAAGAGGCATCAGGTCCCCTGGAACTGGCATTACTGATGGTTGTAAGTCACCACGTGGGCGATGAGAATCAAACCCTGGTCCTCTATAAGAGCAACTTTTAACTACCACTTCTCCAGCCTGTGTGCACATTTTTATTTCTAGTGCAGGCAGATCTCTGTGAGTTTGAGGCCAGCCTGGTCTACCCACCGGGTGAGTTTCAGGGCTACCTAGATAAACCCTGTTTTGAAAATAAATAAATAATTAAATAAATAAATAAAGGGAGGGAACCTAGAGCAAAACTGGTGACATTTCCCCCCCATTAATATGCAAATGAGGGTCTAATTAAGTATCTGATAGCTACTAAGCACTTTCCTGAGCAGCCAGGGTTTATGACTCCCTTTTAGCATAACTGGAAGCTTTACTAAGCATTCCCAAGGAGAGGCTAGCTAGCTTCTTTGACTTTTTCCATCCCTCTCTGCTATGTACCAGGAAATAGTATGTGTCCCTGTCACTGGGTTAGTGGCACCTTTTAGCAGTGTGCCAAATCAAATCCCTGGCTATAAAAGCAATGATCTCCTCTTTGGTTGGAAACCTTAGCCTTTTTAAGGGCTGAGCCACCTCTCTAACTCTATACAACTCACTGCACCAGAATGCACTCCTAGAAAAAAACTGCAGGTAAGCTGGCCATGTATCTCAGGTTCCTAGCATATATGAAACCTGAGTTTGGTCCCTAGTACTTCATAAAACCAATCA